TTAGAACTGCATTTCCTCAGAGCTCTTACATCCCAGGAAATTTACTCTCAAGGAGTCCCACTGCCCTCCAKCAACCTCCTAACCTTCCTTCCTCACCTTACCCCCTGCCTCAAATGCAGAATCCTAAGATACGTTTGCCCTCAGTTCCTGGTTCCTGTCCTTCTGCCTGTCTCAGTAGCCATCGCTCCCATCTCTACTCCCACAACACCTACAGGCTGCTGGAGAAACCTAATGCATCTCTACTCCCACAACACCTACAGGCTGCTGGAGAAACCTAATGCATCTCTACTCCCACAACACCTACAGGCTGCTGGAGAAACCTAATGCATCTCTACTCCCACAACACCTACAGGCTGCTGGAGAAACCTAATGCATCTCTACTCCCACAACACCTACAGGCTGCTGGAGAAACCTAATGGGTCACACAAATGGCACTCTCTGCCTGTGGGTAGCCTTCACTGCTATGTCACCACCCTCTTACCTTCTTCCTCTCCCAGCCCCTTCACCAACCCAGGCCTGGCCCCTCACTCTGACTGTTCCACCGCTTGCTCCCTAGAGAAGGGAGAAGACACCAATCATCACCTCCTCCTCCCCATATGCCACCATGTCACAAGTTGCTCAGGTTTGCCCACAGTCTCCATGCCCTCAATGAAACATACTGATCAGAATATGGACTGCGGGGAGGCAGGGTAGACACTTGGGATGCAAAACTTAAGGGAGCACTAAAAATAAGGTAGTCAATGTAATATTTTAAATATTTTTTTTTTAAAGAGAGTGAGAGAGGAGGGAGAGAGAGAGAGAGAGAGAGAGAATCTTTTTCAATATTTATTTTTTAGTTCTTGGCGGACACAACATCTTTGTTGGTATGTGGTGCTGAGGATCGAACCCGGGCCGCACGCACGCCAGGCGAGCGCGCCACCGCTTGAGCCACATCCCCAGCCCTTAAATATTTTTTAAAAGTTGAAATTAAGGAAAAAATTCATGATGAACAAAATATCAAAATTATAAACAGAGACAGGATCCCTTTCTGTGCTTAAACATCCCTGTCTCACAAGATACCCTTATCCCTGTCCTACTCACTGAAACTCCCTGGGTACTAAGTGTGGCTGACTTCCATGGACATATTTTCATTCACTTGTATGGATGTGTGTGTGTCAGAATATATTTCTGATATTTATATCATAAAATGGTACTAATGCTTATTATATGCAATGCACACTTCTATTCATTTTTCTTTTATTTTTAATGCTACACTTATACTTCCTAAAGTAGCTACATGAACCATTCATAGACTGTGACCTGCAAGTTTTGAAAACACCAATCAAGATGGAATCAAAGCAACACTATAAAATGGCCTTCTCTTAGTTCAAATATTCTCCCAAACAAAAATAAACCCTGAAATTCTATTTAAGCAGACAATATTATTTGAAGGAAAAGCTACTGGGTTAAAAGAAGAAAAGTAATTTAACCATTGTCTCCTAGCTCTAGTTTTTTCTTTGTTAGAGAAATAAAATATCATAGTAAAAACCTGTCCCTGAATGGTCTCATAGAAAGTAGGACCAAATTAATGATTGCCTTCATTTTAAAAATCAACTTAGTATTCAGACTATCCCCATAAGCCATTCAAATATTAATGATGCTTTTAAAAGTGACACTCATAAACTATACACTAATAAGCCTCCTTCAGTAAGTCAAAGGTTTTTGTTCTTTCAAGTCTTAATACTTTATACCATCATTTAAGTTTCTGGAAGACTTAAAGTCCCAACTAAGAGACAATTTTGGGTTCCTGCTCAGGCCTAACTCAAAGAAGAAAAATAAAATTTTCTGTGACCGCACAACCAGATACCAGTCAGTGGTAACTGCCTGTTCTGTTTGTTCAAGAAGAAAGGAAACAACGTGAAATTTGAATTTACAATTCCTATTCTGAGTGAAAAATTAGACATTCTTTCAAAAGTTATATTATTCTTTAATTCAAGCAAAGTTTGAGTGTTTCCAACATAAGTCCTATAAAAAAGGAAAAACTTTACCCCATAGCTAGTGTCTTCAGGTATTTTTATGGCTGTGACTTTAACCTTAAAACTATCTTAAGCCACAGGCAAAATGTAGAAGCCATTTGGAGCTATTATCCTTCCACTAAGAATATATTTACAGAGTTAGTTCTTGATTCAGTGTTAGTCCAAAAACTTTAAGTTCCAATTCAGCAAGCATGGATAGAAGGATAGAGGGGAAGGTGGGTTATAAACTACCATGTGAATCCAATTACAAGATTCTCACCTACATAAACTAAGTTCTATGTTTCTTTATAAGTTAAATATGGATACAGATTTGTTTCCTGGTTGTAGGGAAAATAATGACAGAGAAATATCAAAAGAATAAGCAAATCAAGCCCTAAGTCTTTACTCTGACAACTGGTTAGAGTAGTATTATATTTTAATGCAGTTCTACTAAGTCACTAAAATCTCCCAGTAGACAGTTTGATTATGTGAAATTTGAAAGACAAAAGATAAAAATACAAAGGAGGTCAAACWTTTGCTGTAGTAAGCCTGCCCCCTGGACTCATTCTTGCAAATGGTTGTTTGCCTTGACAAGAATGCTTGCTCTTTTAAATACAATTCTTTCAGTTTTCTGTTTTGTTTTGTTTTCTTTCCTACTTAAGAAACAAACTTCTTTACCCACTCTAGCAACAGTTTCCAACATGGGCATGTTTACTGCATACCAGGCACTGTTCTGATTGTTTCACATCCTTTGTTACTCTATAAGCCTCACAACAAACCATAAGGGAGAAATTATCTCCCCCATTTTGCAGAAGAAAGTGAGGCATTGAGATTTAGGGTTAACTATCTCACCTCCATCAATTCCAGACGCTATGGCAACTCAGAGCAGATGATTGTTCTGTTCAGTCCCTGAGCTATTCACGCCTTTCCCGGCACAGCTCTTCCTGAAGTTCCCATTAGGATGGGAGGGCAAGGAAGTGAGTGGAGCAGGAACTAGAGCCATGATCCACCAAGCCAAAGAATTTCCGTCTCTGTCTTAAGCTTGGAGTGATTTATGTTTTGATCCCACCTGCATTWCACCAACACTTGTATTCATTTTCTATTTGAACATAACCTTCTCCTAACCTTCCTTGGGCTCAATTTTCAATTTTCCCTTCTTCCTTTTTTTTTTTCCTTTGTCCCAATTGCACTAGACAATAAGTAAAAATGACCCCATCTGTCTGGGTACTCTGGGTACATAAAATCTTTTTTCTAAAGATAACTAGGGATCTAAGGAGAAGGATCCAAAGTGGCAGAAGTAGGGAAGAGAGGTGGGGAAGACAAAAGGAGAGGAGGAAAAAAATAAAGGAGAAAAAATTCAAAATGTTTGATGCGAGTATTTGATTAACAGTACTGGGTAAACTAAGGAGTCATACACACAGGGAATCATACACTAGCCCTAGAAAAGCTATCATTCTTTTATTAAAAAGCTGTATGAAAATTTTTTCATGAATAACAGAAAAAACTTGAAGATGTACTCAAAGTTGGCTTATAAAATGACAGGCAAAAAGTGAACATGACATAATAGATGTAAACCAGGCATCCGGCTTAAGGTTTATAGCCAGTGCATGAATCAAAAATAAATATCGCTGGGCACTGTAGCACATGCCTATAATCCTAGCAGCTCAGGAGGCTGAGGCAGGAGGATCAAAAGTTCAAAGCCAGCCTCAGCAACTAAGCAAGGCTGTGAGCAACTCAGCAAGACCCTGTCTCTAGATAAATTCTATTTCTTTCTTTCTTTCTTTCTTTCTTTCTTTCTTTCTTTCTTTCTTTCTTTTAGTTGTAAATGGACACAATAGCTTTATTTTATTTATTTATTTATGTGATGCTGAGAATCGAACCCAGTGCCTCACACATGCCAGGCAAGTACTCTACCACTGAGCCACAATCCCAGCCCAAAAAAAATTTAAAAAGGGCTGTGGATGTGGCTTAGTGGTTAAGCCCCCCTGGGTTCAATCCCCAGTACCAAACAAAATAAAGTGAAACAACAACATATAAGTGTGTGTGTGTTCTCCTATCAATAAGAACAAGTGACTGCCTATCCCCTTTGAGGTGATATAAAATRTGCCAAAAATTGCCACCACTCCAAATCCTACCTGTGCCACCCCTCTAGGACTCTTCACACACAAAGATCAGCATTCACTCCAGCAGTGATTGTTGAGATTGTTTTAGGATGGCTTTGCCCCAGAAAAATTACCAAGGTAAATTTGAAATGCTGCATTAAGTCAGGAGGAGGTGAGGCTCTGGAAAATTCATTCAGATATCTGATATTGGAAACCCAGTTACTATACAAAGAATGCTGAGATGAGTAGGGGAAGAGGATGGAAATGGGGAACCCCTGTGTGGGAGAGATGGCAAATAAGCAGGACCTATAATAATGGCTGCAATTCAAGCATGGGTTCAGGGAGGAAAGGAGAAGTGACAGTTCAGAAGGAAAGGGAATAACAGACAGAAGTTACTGGTAGGGTGGAGGGAGCAGGAGTAGACATCCCAAGAGAACCTAATGTAGGCATTTTTGAAAGCACACCAGAGAAAAAGTTGTGGCTACAGTGGGAAATGTCAAATAACTTGGTTTGGTCAGAAGCTAGGGTAAAGGGAAAAGGTGGGGGGGGGGGGGGAAGAAGAGCTGAGGTCAAACTAGTAGGTAAAATAGTGATCAGAAATAGGGTGACAGTAACCATTTATGCCTGTTATTCGGTGGCAGTTCATTTGTCTCATTTAGGCATTGTAGCTAGAAACAGCTTTGGATTAAAGATTTAACACACAGAGGACAAGAAGCAGAAGATGGTGTGACCTGGGRTATAGCAGGTATATAAGTTTTCCTATCTTAGCTGATGGACAATGATTATAATAAGTTAGCTACCATGTATTAAGCACCAGCCTGATTCCAGGCCTTGCACTGCATAGCCCTAAATGAAAGTAAAAGCTACAGTTAATTAAATCAACAAAGATTAACTTATCACATACTGTGTAGGAGGCCAGGGGAAGGATGCTGGGAAGACTTCAGAGATGTTACAGGTGTAGATCCTCAACCAAAAATCAATAAATGTTCCACTGCAAACTGGAATCTGGACCTGTTGGAGGTGAGATAGAGAAAAGCCAAGAGTTTTAGGATGAGAAAAAAAAAAACTAGATTTATGTTCTGCCTCTTCTATTTACCATCCACATGCACTTGACTTCACTGTAAACCATGTAGCACTGCTTTCTGAGGATTCTTTTTGAGATAACCTATTGACAAAGTATGGTCCACATCAGATATTCCATTACTATCCAGGTATCTACTACAGTTGGTTAATTGGTAGGTAGCTCACATTTTTTAGGGGTTACTTATCTTTCAAAAATCTGAGATATACTATTAATATGCTTCTTATAAAGATATTAATTAGATAGGAGTTTAAAAAAAACTAATTTGATTGCTAAGAGCCACTTAACACATGACTACTGTTACCATGAGACCAGAAATACCAATCCTAACTGACTAAATATGTTCTTTCATTATCCTTGACAGGAAAGAACACTGTGGTTCCCACAAGCACTGTAAAGACCTATCAATGAAGATGACAGATAATAAGACTATAAGACCCTGTAAATTATGGAGAAGGAAATCTGACTTGAGTCATCCTTTTAGCTTATTTCGCTTAGGCCATTCTCAGAAAGTTACAGAAAAAGTTGTGGAACAAGAAGAAAAGAGATAAAATATGAAATCATAAGTGGACCTTAGGTTGTTTTACAAAAATTTTGCACCTGGCTCTTGGGGGTTTTCTTGCCTGCAGACTTCGTAGAACATTCTCTTCTATAAACTGGATTGTAGTATTAAAGCCTTCATTATAAAAGATAAACCTTATTAAGTTACAGATTAAAGCCATTATCTGAATTCATGGCATCAAAATGTAAAAAAATCACTTTTATTTATTTGAAGTTCACATCTCACCTGATCAAGTTTTTTATCTTTATATATGAAAATTCTTATATCCTCTCTCACTATAAATTAATACATAATAGATAGTGCATACTGTAAGGAAAGTAATTCTAGATTCACACTGTTCTGGCTACATCTGTGCTGGCAGAAATTTGATGTCGAAAGGCAAAGCTCTTTTAATAATTTGCTTAAATCTGTTCCATTGAGCATACGTAAAACTCCCCCCAAAAAAGGGTACATTTTGTTACTTCTGAATTTATCCGGCAATCTGTTATGAAATGCAAATTCTAATGCAATTAGGCCTCAAAAAGAACTCAATCCCTTAAAATTTGAAAGTCACCAAGTGCAATGATTCTGGCCAAAGTGACCCATTTAAAAAAGATGACCCATTTTGAAACCCATGAGTTATTCAAGGTGTTCTATATTTGAGAATTGCAAAGTTACTTTCTTTTACCACAGTTTCATTGTTTGTATGTCTTTTTAAAAAAAAAAAGGAAATATGGCTCTATTTTAATGAAATACAATGTGACATTATTTACTCAATAGGACCCGGAATTCATTTGAAAATTCAACCCTATCTTCTGAGTTTTCTTTTTGGGCAAAGCAATTATCTATACTACCTATTCATCCTTCATCTCACTTCCTTATGAAGAGCTTGTATCGGTTTATGAACTTCCCGATACAACACTCATCCCATCTTAAGGCTCAGGTGGAAAAGGGTGGTCTCTCATCTTCAAAGGGGGCTCAGTGAACTTCTGGAGAGTGGGGTCATGAGTAGGGAGTAAGAACAAGTGGCCCAACAGTTTAAGTATATAATGGAAACCTTAAGGTACTGACTTTATCTTGCTTTTTTAAAAAGCAAAGAGTGGGCTCCCAAGTGCAGGTTTCCCCTCTTCTTTGTGACAAGATATAAAATCTACCAAAGGTTTTTTTTTTTTTTTTTAAGAAAGTCAAAAACATCTGCTGCTAATCACTAAACATCCTAGGAGTGCTCCGGGTGGGATCATTTCTGCGCCACTACTTTAAGACATCTAACTTCAATCGTCCTTTTCTGGGTCAATTTCAGCTTCTCACATCCATCTCCCTTCCCCCCACAGGGACCAGGTAAGGTTTCCCAAAATAAAGACACAGAGGAACAAATCCAATTCTAATGGATGTACTTTCATTAGAAAATTACTCTAAATATAAACTACATGCCCCCACCAGATGCTTTGCGGACACAACACTGGTGTCTCTTTAACGTGATCCAAAACCTATGAAAACCAACACTATAAACGAATATAGTGTAGTGAAATGCAAATTTAAAGTTGTTAACTTTTCACCTACCTGGTATCTGGGCAAATCTACTTACTTTGTCAAGTCAGGACGCAAAATAAAATTTGTCAATAGAAAGAGGAGCAAAGATTTCCCCTCTCCAGGAAGAGGTCTAGTTTCCCAGCTTCCCTTGCCTGCCCACTTCCCTGTTTCCATTTCCCCAGCCTGTAGCCGGCTGAAAGTCTGCCAATTTCCCCTTTTCCAACCCCACGCTGTCTGTACAAATTCCGCCCTGGGGGTGGCGGCAAGTTTGGGACCCGGCGCCGGAAACCAAAGCTGTGGGCGCGGCGTTCTTTGCCTCGCGCCTCCCGCGCTCCGGCGGGTCTCAGCAGCGCAACACCGCGGCCGCCTTGCCGGAGACCCCTCCAGGAGGGAAAGCCCGCTGGGTCCTGGGAAACTGCCCCACCGGACCTCCGGGGACCCCAGCCTACCTGCCTCACCGAGGAGGCGGCTGGGCCCCGGGTCCCGGCCGCCGGGCGCCCGCGCAGACTGGCCGGACAGAACAAAGGCGCTTCGGGGAGGGATCGCGCCCTCCTTCCTCGCCGCGCCTTCGGACGCCGAGCAGCCCGAGCCCACTCCGGGAAGGGCCTCCCCAGCTTCCCGATGCTGGGCACCCGGCCTGGGTTCGGCTCCAGCCGCTTGTCCCAAGCCCGAAGGCACATTCCAACCCGACGTCCCGGAGCCACCCATGTGAACGAACGCGTCTTCACCTCCAAGCCGCTCTTCCCTTTCCGCCCTGTGGAAACCTCGTCCGGTCCAGAGCCGGCAGAGGCGAGCCTGCTGTGCTGCATAGGGAGCTGCACCGGCCAGGAGGTGCGGCTCCGCGGCGCGGCCGGCCGGGCAGGGGCGGGGCGGGGGCTGGGCGGCTCGTAGCCCCCCGCGCCCGCCGCCCTGCCCGGGACCCAGGGAGCAAGCGTCTCTGCTCCGCCGCACAAAGAAAACCCATCCCGGGACGGGAGGCTTATCCCGCCAACAGTGCGAGAACGTCTCCATTTAGTGATCAGAAAGGAAAGGCAACATTTCCAAACCCACCGAGAGGCCTCGAATCACGTTAAGATGCAATATGCTGCTGGGCACGGTTTTTATCATGCAGCTGATCACATGTATATTTATTCCATATCAAAGAAACAACTGGCCTCGGTACACTATTCACCAGGATCGTGACCCATTCCTTTAACGTAACAGATACTCATATACGGATAAGTTTTGACTTGCGGTTGTCGGATCAACTTATTCTAGTTTTCCAGCAAGAATTCTAAAGGCAGGCGAGACTTGTTAAGAGGTTTCTAGTCACACCACTTATGCCTGGACCTTCTGCGGGCCTGAATAACAAAGGAAGAAAACTAATTTACATCAAATAACACTGCACTACAGCAGTCTTTTTTTTTTTTTTTTTAATAAATCCCTCTCCCCCCTCTCCCCACCGGCCGTTTCACCGGTGGTTTACTTTCAAACTCAAGTTTAATCTTAAAAGCAATTTAAAAGAAAAAAAAAAAAACTCACCAAGTGCAAGCCCAGCTCCCTAAACGTCCAAATCGGAGGTCTGCTTTCCACCTCACGGCGGAGCAAAGTCATTGGTCTCAAGAACAAAACTTGCGGGCTTTAAATCTCTGGCCAGGGCCAGGCAGCCAGCGATGGCTCAGCTAGCTTCCCCGCCGGGAGCGGGGCTGAAGCGGGCGGAGTGGGGCGGGCCCAATCAGGGGGCTCGGGGCCCGGGCGGGGGAACCTCCCTCACAGCGCGTCGCCCGCACCTACAGGCGTCACTGCCAAAGCCCGACCCCGCCTGACCAAGTGCCACCACCCCGGCCTGTGGGTGAAGGTGAGGGGCCCCGCCCRAAAGTGTTCTTTCTGCAAAGGAAGGCTCCAGGAAGTGATTCCTCCGCGCCTCTTCAGGTAATTGGGCTCATTTGCTCAGACGACCGAATGTAAGCCAGGGTCCACATGAATGTTCTCTTTCAGTGTTTTCCCCATGCACGAAACTAGACATTATCAGAAGAATGTAGACGTCTACTTGGGGAAAGCGCTAGTAAATTAATCCTTTATGCCTTGGGTTTCTTTTTCCCCAAATGTTGCCTTATCCTTCTCCATATAGAACAAAACATTACCATTCAATGGAGATCGTGTTTTGAGCTCTTTTTTGTTACACATATTTCAGAACATAGCTGAAAAATAAGAGTACCCCCAATTCAGTAAAATAAAAGTTTCAAGTTTATTATTGTAAAAGGAATAGAGGTGATGTGTTCAAAACAGTTTACTGAACCAGARTTTAAAACTGTAAATAGTAAATACAACATTATATTTGTTTTTGCAAACTAGATTTGGGGAACATTTTGTAACTGCTTTTAAAAAAAAGCCTTTCAGCATATTTTAATGAAATTCTTTTTGTATATCATTCTCAGAGGGCATGGCTCTGCACCCACTGTCACCTCAGAGATGATAGTGCTACATGCACATCAGACCACAGGCAAAAATATTCCCATAATGTGATTCACAAGGAAGTCACTGATAGTAACCCATGAAATAAGCCAATTCATTATTACTACAGGGCCAATCACATTCCTTCCCTACTAAAATCCTGAATGTAACCCCACATAGCCCCACCACCACCACACATCAGCATATGTGTATGCTGTATTCATATGAAATATTCAATTTTGACTATTCCTTTCGGGTCATTTGGAACAGTAGGCCTACCCATCAGCATATGTGCATGCTCTACATACAGGAATACATAAGACTGTACCCACTAGAAATAGGAACATATCCAAAATAGATAAACACATAAAAAATCACATATTCACATCATCCTTTGTAAAATTAGACAAAACAGATGAATGATTTCAAGAATAAACCCGGAAATAATTCTAGAAGATGCCAGTCTTTCGGTGATAGAGAGCATGAGGAAGAGTAAGGGAAGGGGTCAGTGGTCCAGAGTGCCCACTCTTGTGTGCTGGCCCCCAACCCCCCCCACACACACACACACACACATACTTCCCTTCTATATAGAAGGGAACAGGAAAGGGAGGTCCCTTTGCCCATCTGGGAAAATTTCCTGGAACAGACTGGCTCCCAATCCCACTCCAGAGAAAGGGGACAAGAATGTTGGATTTCATGTGTAGAACTCAGTTACTTTCATTGTGAGAGAGTACATGAAACTTTTGAGATGAGTGGGAAATAAAATTCTATAACAGCAATGATGCTGACAATAAAGACACTGACTTGGCCAGCCTGAAGAATGAGGACAGTGTCAGGGTGCTCTCCTTGTCCACAGTAGCTGGTTGTGAGAACCCTGGGATTCAGTTTATAGCTGACTTTGAATGCCATCCTTAAGAATACATTTTGCATAGCACTAGAGAACTATGGAAGGGAGTAGAAAAAGAAACTATCATCAAGATGGTAAATAGAAAAGTGAGTCTTGTGGTGGTAGAGAAATTTGCATGTTAGAAGAGACAGATAGAGCAGATTTAGGAGAGAGGACCAGAAGGTGGGGCAGTAAGGCATGCAGCATCAGTTGTGGAGCGARTACTAAGCCCTGAGAACAGGAGAACCAAGGAAACTGTGGAAGCAGGCAAGAGGCCAGTGTTTAAGAAATCCTGAAGAGGGAGCAGGTTTGATAGCTGACTTCACACCTAACACAAGTGAATTATGTCAAACTAGTGTCAGGCTCAACTAGTTCAGTTTAATTGGCTCTGTCTAGATTCTATCAGGTCAGACCCTATATAGACCCTGTCCTGTGAATTCAGACACCACAGACTTTGTATTTTGAAACCAGCCACTGTTCCTGCAAGGCCAGGCCTGTTAGAGACATGTTGGTGGGATCCTGGCTTAGTTTCCTACCTGGGATCTCAGGCAAGTTGACCAATTCATGTGTACCTTACAGTGAGAAACACCTAACAGCAGGGYGAGTAAGGAGTGTGTACCAATGATAACATGTGGAGTGCTGTGCACAGTGACTGGGACTGTCCTAAGGGCAGGATGCACAGTTAGCATCCTCATACCCACCACAGGCTGCAGAAAGCTCCTCTCATCTGGAGAGAAGGATGAGGAGGCTTCATTGTGCCAATACTTCCACCCAGAAAGGATGGGATGCATTTCACGTCTCTGGGAATTCCATTTCTGATAACACAGCATCACCCTTTAAAATAACACCTCAACTCTTTGGCTGCCTCCTTTACTACCCACCAGCCCCCTCCAACTCACGCACATCCTTCCTGTCTGTTCTTTTCTCCCCACACTTGTTACTTGGTGATCTTCTCTGTGCCTTTAATCCTGATTTGTATTTTGAAGCCAGATTCCAAGCTCCGCATTTGCACGTCTTCACTTAGGTATGTCACATCAGTCTTTAGTTTAGCATGTCTAAACTGGAATATCTAAATACATGCTTGGGAAACAGTGAATGGATGGGACTTGAATGCCCGTAAGGCCAGCAGACTCAGTATTTTTACTTGTCAATAATAATTGATAGCATTTTGTCACTCCTAAATGACGCCTGGATCTATTTTCCTATTTTGAGAGTCCTCAGACCCCTTGAGGGTGGAGACCACATCCTGCTCATCTCCAGTTTCCTCCAACCCCCCCCCCCACAACRCCTTGCACAGAGCAAATGCACACCGTATAACTGCTGGTTGAACTAAATTTTTGCTGACTGCTTCCACRTTCATCGAATTTTCAACTTGCATTCCAAGAAGCTCCATCTGTTGTACAATGGGCCCAGTGTCCTTCTCCTTGATGCCACCAAGGCCCCAAGGCTGACACTGGAGGCATGCTAGCCCCTTTCCTGCGGCTCTCCTGCTKCGCCTGTGGTTTGGCACCATCACCATCCTCCCTCAATTCCAGGACCTCAGCAGCTGGATGAGACTGTACTGGGTACACTCAGAACTGGCAATGACGAGAACTGACAGCACAAAGAGGCCCTCACCACAGGCCATTCTAAGAATCCATTTTGTTCCAGGTTCTCTTGCCCTGGAAGGGGGCCTCCTATAACTGATCCTCTCCTTCCCACTAACACATGAGGGTCCCTCTCCTGTGCCAGCTGGCAGTCAGTGGGGCCCTTACAGGGTCAGGAACCATCTTGGAGGATCAGGCCCTGCTTGCTGGGATCTTCCTTTGGTCCAATAAAGCTGTTCTGTGGATAGGATATAACTCATCCAGGGGAGGGGTGAGACTGGCTSCGTTTCCCCTCCATGCTGCAAATGCTCAAGCAGCCCCTGTGACAATGACCTGGTACCATTTCCTGACAGTGGGCCTTYCAGCATTTCTTCTCCTATTCCCACTGGTAGAACATACACTTCATACTCTCAGGGCACATAGGGTCATAGGTTCCCAGGAGTCTCCCTCTACCTCATCTTCATCCTACGCAGGATGGCACATCAACTTGAGTGAATAGGTGACATTTTTGTAGGGACACTCTTGAATTCTGTCTGATTAACATTTAAAAGGTAACTGGCGGGCCGCCCCCGGGGCGCTGTGGACAGCCCTGGGCTGGTGCTGGGCGCGGACGGGCAGAGCCTACCCCGGGCCTGCAGGGGGCAGCGGCCTTGGCGGTCCTTGCGTCGACAACCTGGCATCCCTGCCCTCGCCGTTCTTCAGGTCGCCCGGGTGGCGAGCCGACCAGTGGGCGGTCAAGAAAGGCGGCCGCCATTCCCGTGTCTGCGCCCGGGGGGGGGGGGGGGGGGCCGCTCGAGCCGGCCACCGTGCCGCTGAGCCTGAAGCCCACCAGCAGAGGCTGCAAGACCACGTCGTCCTCCAAGTGGAAGAAAGGCCCGCAGGGGGAGATCCTCTGTCACCACTGCATGGGCCGGGGGGCGCCGGCTTGGGGGCGGCCGGCAGGACTGGGATGGGTGGTGGCCGGGGCTTTGGGGCGGCGAACTTCGCCAGCACCTCAGCTGCACCCCGCAGAGCCTCGGGGGCGAGGCGGCAGGCGGAGTAAGCAAGAAATTCACAGAAGGTCTGCGTGGCTCAGAAACACTAAATACAAATCTGCTCCTGCTGCTGAAAAGAAAGTTTCTACTAAAAAGGAAAAGGGAATCGACATTTTAAAATTTAGAAATCCCATCAAAGCTCCCGAGTCTATTTCCACCATAATCACTGCAGACTCAATCTTCCACAAGGGAGTATATTACCAAATTGATGATGTTGTTTCTGTGATTGATGAACAAGATGGAAAGCCCTGCTATGCTCAGATCAGGGGTCTTATTAAACCAGGGCCTCACATACACATTCTACCACTGAGTTACATCCTCTTCCCTCTCTTTTTTGAATAGATATTCATTACTATATGCTCATTGCCTGCTATATGATCACTCAAACCAACCAATTCCAAAAGGCAATTACAACTCTGCCTTGGATTTATATTGAGAATTATTTAACATAAGTAGATCATTAGTTGAGATTTAGAAATGGTTTGCTTTGCTAAGATTTGTCTTAAACAACACTTCTGAAAAGCCAATTTTGAAGTCCTTGGTGTAATCTGAAACCATATACATTCCAGGAATCCATCTTGGTTGGTCTGATRTAGTGGTAAAACCCAGTATTAACACCTAATTGGCTCTGTAGATTTAAGGTGAAGAAATCCTAGAAAGAGAAGGAACTCTGTGAGAAAA